TATTGATAAATTATGGAAGACGTTACCATATAAAAGGATTTGGTTGTTGCTATTCTTTGAACCTTGTACTCTTTTAACTTCGCCCCACCCCCTGTCAATTTCTGGCTTCGGCATTGAAAAAGAGTACATTAAGATCAAGCAAGCATATTTACTAATTCACCTTTGTTTGTTAAGAATATTAAATTAATGGCACATCTAGTATTATACCTTTTTGGTCATTTCACACAGTCATAGCTGTTTTATATAAAAGTTTACCAAACATTATAATACCGTTTTTTTTTTTTTTCAAAAGCACTTTTACAAAAAAATTTACCAAACACTCTGCTGCTTTATTTCACAATTGCTTATTATTCTCACAGTATAACAAAAACAGTTTTTTTTCAAAGCATATCAATACCAAACCAGCCCTAAGCGCATCACTAGTCAGTGGAAAAAAAAAACCAGTATGTTTCATAATGAGTGTACGTTACTTTCTCCCAAACAATTCAATTTTTTAAAGGTGGGATGAGATCGAGACCATCTTAGATTTGTAACCAAGGATAACCCTTTTCCCCTTGTAACTTCAGTCAAATCCAACCCCAATTATTCCACAAATCCCATAGCGCGTTTATGTAACCGTAATGAAAAGAGGAGGAATTGAATTGAGGAGGAGTTGGAACGAGGAGAAGTTAGAATCTGATTCTTGTTGAAACTGTTTACTTAAATGTTCTGAAATCGGAATAGAATTCCATAAAACTGTTTACTAATTTAGCAGAATCGGAATATAAACCAGTATAATTACTAAAGTGCACTTGTCCTAAATCAAGTATGTATTAATGCTAGCCAAGATAGTGTAAGTCACCATGATTTGCGTATCTACTGATGCTGCACCAGTGAATATATATTTATTTAAATAAAAAATAACTCAACCCCAAACCAATCTTATCTTTCTCTTCCCGAAGAACCCACTCCTCAACGCCACCTCTCGCTATCTCAATCCATTCCATTATAATTCAAGTTTATTTATTTCAAGTCTTAAGCATTTGATGGCAAATAAACTCTATTGTAAGTCCCTCATTCCCTCTTTCTCTTCTTCTTATTCTCTCTCTCTCTCTCTCTCTCTCTCTCCCTCTCTCTCTCTCTCTCTCCCTCTCTCTAACCCAGTGCATTTTGATTTCAAAATTTTCCTGCGGAAACATAGAGATATGGCAGAAAGTGGGAGTAGTGGGTTTGGGTTGCGTCCCTGGGCATGGATGGTTGCGGTGTTAGAGGAGGGAGTAGCACTGGACATTATCGTTGGACAACGGCAGGTGGATCTTCTGTGTTAATGCAAAGGGTAGTACTAGAATTTTAAAAATAAAGTGAGGATATAAGTGATAGAAAATTTGTATTCCAAATTCCCCATAGCAGACGGAATTGAAATACCTTATAGATCTTAAGAGTCCAATTCCTCCAAAAGAAGGAATTGATTCCAAAATTTTTGTGGGTCCTGCCACTTTTTCAATTCCTCCAGATTTAGTGAACGCTAGAGTAGTCCGTAATCGGAATTCAATTCCACATTTTGATTCTGATTACAGATATGTAAACGCGCCATCTATATAACTGTACCAACTATTTTCTCATTAACCATCAACCATCAGCCAAGAGAGGCAGCAGCAGCAGCAGCAGCACTTCCTCTCACTATCACTTGTGGAACCCATCAACCATCAGCCATCAGCCATCAGCAGAAGATTCTCAAAATTTTCCTCTCCCACTTGAACAATCAGCAGATTAGTTAAAAACCCATTATTTTTTGGAAGCAAAGAAGGAAACCCATGATTTAGAATCCGAAAAGAAAATCGGAAATTGTATTGTAATTCAATGGCATTCTTGGAGGATGTCGTTGTTGTGCAGCTGCAAATGTTTCTTGGTCTGTGAATGCAGCAGCAGAAGTGAAGAGGAAGAAAGGAGAGTGAAAATGTTGTGTAAAAAGAGTGTGTGCAGAAGTGCCATTGAGGAGGAGGAGAAGGAGGACAGTGGATCGGTGCCTGTGTACCTCAATGTATACGATCTCTCACCTTTTAATGGCTACGCTTATTGGCTTGGCCTTGTAGTTTACCATTCTGGTGTAAAAGGTTAGTTCTACCAACTTTACTTTGTGTTTGGCTGGTGATAAAATATGCATAATTTTGTTTGTCAGATGAGAAAATGCAGAAAAGAGTTGGGTTTAACCTTTTGGTTGCTGTGTCTTTGGCCATTGATTATGTGTAGTTTAAGATGTATGTTCTTCAATTGGATTAGGTAGTGGATATTCTACATCCCATGTGCTTTTAAATTTTGATTCAAAAACAAAAGTTCAAGTTTTTGAATGATTTGGCAATACAAGATAAAGGATTGATGTGAGTCATTCAAGTCCTTGAATCCGAAAATATTGTATTGTTAGTGTGATAAATAACTGCTAATTTCCTTGCCAACTTCTGGTAAGAAATCGAAGGTTCATGAATTATTTTCCACTTCAGTTTCCAGTTACAGCAAGATCTAAATGATTTTTGAAATGTTTTTCCATTTTGTTGTATTTTTTCCATGTTTATGGAGGTTTTTGATTGTATTTACTTGTGCAGTGCATGGTGTGAAGCATGCATTTGGACCTCACGAGTATCCAACATCTGGAATTTTTTAAGGAGAACCGAAAAAGTGTGACGGGTTTACATTCAGGAATCGATTCTGATCGGGAAGACGATTGTTGGGCCTTTAGAAGTGAGGGCAGTGTTGGAAGGTCTTGCAGCGAAATGCAAAGGAAATGCCTACAATTTGGTCACCAAGAACTCCAACCATTTCTGCAGTGATGCATGTATCACATTGACTGGAAAGCCAATTCCAAGTTGGGTTAATCGGCTAACTAGAATCGGTAAGAACTAAGAAGTTCTTTTCTTTTGTTCATTTAGTTTATGCGAATCAAACATTTTAGTTATAAAACCAAAAGGGCAGGTTTTGATAACATGAGCTTGGAGCTCATCTAAGGAGTAGTAGTAGCTAGAATGCACTTAGTGTTGAGTATGAATCCCACTCCCACATTGATGGAAGGAGTGGAGGGATCATGCATGTGTTTATACATTAAGTGGGCTACTCCTCATGTTGCCAATTGATTTTATGGTGGAACACTAACTTTCTTCAAGGTATCATAGCTGGTTGTCCCACGTGTGAAGCCCAATGACCACACGACGTGCTCCACGTCACCCCGTTAGTTTTGTCCACGTGTTAGGCTTGAAAATTCGCCACACATGAGGGGCGTGTTGAGAATGAATCGCACATTGATGGGAGGAGGAGGGACCTTTCTTGGATTTGTAAGTAAGCTGGGTTGCTCCCCATATAGCCAATTATATTTATGGTAGAATCTCAACTTTCTTCACTCTTCAAAAAAATGATCGTCTTGAAATCATTCTTTTCAGAAAATGTTGCATTTTACTTCTTAAAGTTTTACGTTTTTAATACTATTGGTAACCAATCATTCCTTAATATGCAGGCTTCCTCTGCAATTGTGTTCTTCCAGTGACATTAAAAAATTTGGCCAAAGTTCATAGAATCAAGGATAAGGCCGATGAAGGAGATAAGAACAAGTTAACAAGCCAGTCAAACAATTTGGCAATATCTTCTAATTGTCCTTCATCTTCATCATCCTCTCCTTCTGGCACAACATTGCGCAGGGGTAGAAGCAGAACAAGACGCCCACGTCCTCTCTCTTCGCCTTTGATTATTGCTTCTTCATCCTTTTGACGGTTGAAATTTGCAGCAGCGTTTATTTATTTTCTAGAAAATTGCTTAAAGATAAGAGGCAAAGTCAAGTTCTTGTTTCTGTTATCTTTTGATTCTTTTCCTGCCCCTGCAAGGTTTCCTAAGTTGGCCTTGTGTGATTTTCTTCTACCTGGCTCAAGTGACTTGGCAAATTCTACCACTTGGACATCTTTGCTCTTAGGATGATGAATTGATAATGAACTTACTCAGTTGATTTCATCGAAAACATGACGATAAATGTCAATAACCCTCCGGCAGATTGTCGACACATTATTGCAATTCCGTTCTTTTGTGGTTCGTATGTGTTACTTTAGGAAAGTAAAGTATTTACCAAATTCGTGAAGATTAAAGAAAGTGAAGGGTGGTAGATGCGAGTTAGGTTAGTTAGTTAGGACATTATACTAACACTTTTATACTCGAGTTTGAATTCTTTTCGCAATAGACTAAAGTAGTTCAAAATACCACTTTACGAAAAATATGAAAGGTGTGCCTGGTTTTCTTGAAAAAGGTTCACTTTCGAATAAAGAAAGCCTACAACTAGGAACATTGTGCTCCCTCTCATAGGAGAGTTGGGGTTAGAAACTTAGGACCCAAGTGCTTTTGTTTATAGTGGCCTTTCCTATAGGAAAGAAAGTTGAATGCCCCACAATATGCCCTTCACGTTCTCTTGCTATTCCTGGTTTGGTATTCGAAGTGAAATTTCTGTCTCTTTCTTTCTTCCTTTAATTTCTTCATCTTATTGTCATCTTTTCTACTTCAGGACCTGTTGGACCAAATTAGAAAATTTTCGTGTAACGTGGAGGCACTGTTTACCCTCTTACACCGAAGTTCAAATTTTTTCTTGTCTTTGACTCCATTCTGATCCTATTGATAGATATCAAACATTTGTACAGGCAAATTTGTGTTTTTGTTGATCAATGGTTGTATCTGATACACCTAATTGTCTCTCCACGCAATACTCCTGAAAAAATAGTTGAGAAATGTTCATAAATAAAACTTTTGTCAAAAGTCGAACATTTTACAAAAATTCAATCAAAAGTCAAACTTCTGTCACTAAAAGGGCACTAAACAGGCAATGAAACGCGTCTATTGATCTTTTAGTGTCCCTTTATTATTTGTTTACTGTCCGTTTAGTGAAATCAATTATTTTTTATTGAAAATTATCAAAAGGGTCGTGTATTATAATATCAAAAAGTGATAAAACGAAATTTCGAGTTTCATAAGTGCTTTTATTCTATCATACACCTTCATGATAAAATCTCTTCACACTAAAATAACATAATTCAATGGCTTCAACTTGATCAACTCAAGTAACTTACAGCATTAGTTGGACATTCAACAGAATAAACTATGGAAGCTGTGCTATAAGCTATAACATTCAACGAGATTTTCAAAACTATATACATATCACAAACATGCAATTTCCAAAGGTAAATCCTATATTTGCAAAAGAATAAAATGAAGAAAAATAAAGTCCTGAGACCATTTGATTGTGTCTAACTGTCCTGCAAAAAGGCCAATCACAGTAAAATTCAGGGCCGGTGCCAAAATAACACCTCACTGAAAAAAAAGGATTCGAAGAGTGCTTCACCAAGAATTGTAGGGTTTACAGCAGAGGCTCAGGTTCACCGAAAATTATCAGCTCTGGCTCTACTTTTCTTGTATCCAGTCAACAAAATTGTCAAGGATCAAAGGCCATGCAAGTTCAGGGTCGTAGTTGCTAAGGTCTGGAAAACTTATCTGTGCAAAGGATTGTAACGATAAAATGTTAGCTAACATATCATGAAGGCAGAGAAGCATTTAAGAAATAAGACGTGACTACTAGTGAATATGTGGACAGGCATGCGATATAGTAGTCAATAAGGAAAACGAAAAGAAACAAAGCAGGTGTTCAAATAAGCGACCAACGTGTAAGATTACCTCATTGCAAAACCGGTAAAAGCCCATCCATTGATCCATATTTATGACTTTGTAATCATTCTGGATCTGCGTTTAGAAAACAAAGCTCTTTTCAGTGAAGGTGGTAGTTACGCCAATGTCAACAGATACAAGATATTGGACTACTACATATGAAGAAATTGAGAGAAAAGGATCCCCATCATCTTCTCTAAAGATTTAGAACAATTGCATATTTAAGAATCACTTCCCCGACTAAACGGAAAACCAGTTCATTACTAAAGCAATATTTTTCAGCTACTCACCTTTAGATACTGAGTAAATAAGTCAACCTGCGAATGGTATTGAGATCCTAAAACAATATTTAATAACTCGCATATGCTGTCTATATCTATGCTCTTCTGTTTCTCCTCTGTAAATGACAAAAGAAAATTACAGATGGCTCATATTAGTACATATATGAAAAGGTAAAAGCAAAAGGAAAAATCAATTACGTTACAAGATTTAACCATAAAAGACACATTGAGCTTGTTACCTGTTAAACAATATTCGAATGCATAGGAATAGAAATCCACAAAGTTTGATGGCCTCCCGACCTATTCATAATATAATTAAAGGTAAAAGGATCAGAATATCTGTGACCTCAATCATGTCAATGTGGTTAAACAATTAAATTGCCATAGTAAAAGAAAGCAATTTTAAAAATCTACCTCTTTCTCTAGCTCTGGAAGTGCCTTCTTTAATTTATTTACATTGTCCACCCTTAGTCCTTTAAGACCTACTCGCCACTCTTCCTATCAACGAGGAGATTGGCAATGTCATGAAACAAACGGAACGGTTAGAGTAATGAATACAAGAACGTTCCACATCAAGTTTCAATTTTTACTAGAAAAGTATATCAAGAAATATGCAACTTCTCATAGAACAAGGATCGAACGGTTAAGTATGGAATTGACTTTGGATTTGACATTGTGGTCAGCATTATTGGAGCATAAAATCCACACGGTAACTACATTTGACAAAAAAAAAAACAAAATAAAACAACAGACTACATCCCCCGAACAAAGTAATCCTTTAAAAGGTTATTCACTACTGTAAAGCTTGACAACTTAACCCGAGTGTCATTTGATCTGTGTGTGTGTGTATATATATATGCAGCTGAGTGTATATATGTTCGTATAGAGTATACAGATTTGTCTTTATGGACACATGTCCTCATATGTGTATATATTTTCCTTATTCCTTATTCCTATAGCTTCATAAAATAGGACTCCATTCCCCTTTGAAGCCAAGGACTCCATGTATATACATATAAATCTCTTCGAGTAAACACACCCAGACATGTAAAACAACGACAAACCTTTACATTTGGACCTTTCCACTTTAACAAGTGCCATGTGTCATTTTTACACAAAAAGCAAGGCATTAATGAATTTGAAATTATACTTTTTTTTTTCTTTTTTTCCATCTTTAATTCCTAAACAAAAGCATGAAAGTTCTTTTTTTTTTTTTTTGGGTAAACAATGACACATGGCATTTGAAAAAAAATAAAGTGAGAAGGTCCAAAACTAAGAGAAAATCCAATTATCAAAAACAATTTAACAAGGTAGAGGTTAGATGCTAGATGAATGAAATAACTTGTGGAACCATACAACACATTGATAAATGGAGTAAGTGATAATCCCATGACAAAAAACAAAAGAACTTAAAAGTACTTTAATATGCAGATGAGAAAGTGCTGCTTACCAAGGTAAAGTATCCTTGTTTTTCAGCTTTCATTTTCCTGGCATACATCATACATAGTCCATTAGCTTTGACAATTCAAATCAAGGATATATCGAAGTGAGGACCAAATGACTCCAAACTGAACTTACCAGGCAAGCATCAAGACCCTTACATCGGTATGTTCAACTTCCAAATCTGAACAAAGACGTTCGATTCCCTCTGGGCTGTTCAAAGAGCACGAAATAACTAATAAGTCATAAGGGAACATCAAACTTTCCCCTAACAAAGGTGTGCGTACATTTAAAAAGCACGGCTTCTCCATGGGAAAATTTTATTGAGGTGGAGTACTGTTGAATATATCACTACCAGCTCATCAAAAAAGTTGTAAAGGATTGGATGATGTAATAGTTAGTTGAAACAGTTAGTTAGTCCTCTAGTCAGCTATATATAGCTATTGTAAACAGATAGTAAAGTAAGTTCATTGAGTTTAATAAAAAGCTTCATTCATTTCTTTCTCACATTTCTCTTCTCTCTGTAAAACTTCATTTCTTGATTTTATAATTGTTCATCTCTGCTACTTCTCCAATGTAGTTAACAGATACAAATATGATTACAATTTGATTCTAATTGAAATGCTATAAAACAATACTAGTTTTCTTCTCCCTTCTATAAGAAAAAAACAACGATTTTGATGCTTTATCTGGTATACATAGTCCATTAGAGTAATGAATACAAGAACGTTCCACATCAAGTTTCAATTTTTGCTAGAAAAGTATATCAAGAAATACGCGACTTCTAATAGAATGAGGATCGAATGGTTAAGTATGGAATTGACTTTGGATTTGACATTGTGGTCAGCATTATTGGAGCATAAAATCCACACGGTAACTACATTTGACCCAAAAAAAAAAAAACAATTACATCCCCCAAACAAAGTAATCCTTTAAAAGGTTATTCACCACTGTAAAGCTTGACAACTTAACCCGAGTGTCATTTGATCTGTGTGTGTATATATATGTAGCTGAGTGTATATATGTTCGTATAGAGTATATAGATTTGTCTTTATGGACACATGTCCATGAATGTGTATATATTTTCCTTATTGCTATAGCTTCATAAAATAGGACTCCATTCCCCTTTGAAGCCAAAGACTCCATGTATATACATATAAATCTCTTCGAGTAAACACACCCAGACATGTAAAACATAATGCAATTCTATTGGTGCCTGCAGATTTTCTGGACAGGGAGAATTGGGTCATTCAATAACAACCCTTTCTGTTGAATAATAATCACAGGGAAGTGATTTTCACACACCCTTTTTAGCTTCTTAGACACCCCTCTTTATTTATGGCCATCAGATTGAAAATCAAAGGTAGAAGGTGAAAAGGGTTCACTTCCCTAAATATAAGATGTCACCATGAGGGGAATAACCAACAATGATCTTATGTTACTACAAAGACGGTGATCCATCTGTTTCCATTCACTCCCTAAAAGATGCCCCTACAAATTAATGAGATGACAAACTGTTCAAACCCCAATACTTTATTCATTCTGATATCAAAATTATATTCTCATGAAATTCTCAACTACCATCTGGAAAATGCACTAAATCCGTGACAAGGAAAAATGTAATAACATTTTGAACAGCTGCAACAAAAGTAATAACAAAATCCACAAATTATGACAAGGTTTCTGTGCAGTAGACTTACTCAATCAAACCAGAAGACGCATTTTCATATGAGATAAAGACCGCATCAATACGTTCCAACTCTTTATTAGCTGCTTTAATGGCTGAACAGATTAAGATTAAAGTAGTTATAAGCACAGATAATATGGAACGCCAACTCAACAAAATGTGTAAGCAATATTCAAATAGGTTACTATTTAAAGCATTAGAAGAACACATTGTACAACTACTAATGTCTGCAGTATTGCAATAACAAAACCAGATAGCCCAAATCCGAAATGTATTTCAACTTAAAGCAAGGTTTATTAAGTAATGTGTGGTTCAAGGAGTATCCAAAACTTGAGTAGGATAAATTTTACAAAGCTCCTGAAGGACGTGTAGCATAAACCAGCTAACTGAGAGTTCGAGAACCCTAGGTGGTTCTCTTCCCATCTGCACCCCATAAGTGGGGGTGTAGAAAATACTGAAGGGGGCTCGAAACCTTGCCTCTCTATTTGAGATGTCCTCCGTGTGTTCCAACTACTAAAATGCCATCGCTGAAGTAAGTATTATTTTCCCACAATTCTCATTGGGCCCTGTTTGTTTGAAAATTTAATAAAAAATATTATTATATTAAATTTATTAATTGAATGGAAATTAAAAGTGGAGCCTTTTGGTAGAAAAATGTGTCTACTGAAATGAAGAGTTGCAACTTTTGACTCTTCATGAATAGTCACATGCTTTCCAAAGAGGTATCTCACATTCTATAAATAGGGAAGCCCCCTATAATCACAAAATAACTTTTCATTGTTTACATAATCATACATAGAGTGCATTAAATATTAGAGAGTCTCATTGAGTCCATATGAGAGAGTTTTCAACACAATCGTGGTTCATGGAGCCTTGTGATTTGGAGTGCTACTATTACAAGGACGTGGTCGTTGTATCTTGGGAGACATGCGCCGATCAACCATGAGCACTATAGTGGGCGTAAACTTGTCTTAAGGACAAAGTGTCCAACACTTGCCCCGACCGTATTTTCAGGTTTTTCTAATCCATTATATCATCTTCATTTAACATTGGTTACTCATGTGCATGCATTATTGTGATATATAATTACATGAATTATTTCTTGATTTTCTATGTGATTTATTATAGCAATTAAACCCTAATTTTTCCAACACTGTTAATCATGGTTAAGAAAAGATGGAAAGTTTTGCCACAAGACTAAAGATTTGATGAAACCTGTCTAAAATGCAAACGTTTGATAGAATGTGATATTGGCAATTAGTTTGGGCTGCTCGATAACTTTTCCATCTTCGTCTTCTTGACTAAAGGAGGGTGCAAAGATGGAGATGTTAAAAAGAAAAGAGCAAAGAAGGGTTCTCAGATAAAAACCAAGAAATTTTAAACAGATCCAATTTTTATATTTCTTTTCCACAAATCAGAAACTTTAAGCCTACTCTGTTCACTCGTTGATTTTTCTGGTTAATAATCTAATTTTTTTCAACAATTCAGAACCTTTAACCCTTTCATGCAACACAATATTCCAATACTTTCACTAATTCAACTAAACCACTTTCGGATTTTGGATTTCGACAAAACTTTAGACTTTCTTAATTTAAATTACCAGTATTCCTATAATTCAACAGAATTCTGCTCTTTCTAAAACCAATTTAATTCAATTCGATGCAAAGCATGAAGCTCCAATTAAACCTAATCTATACCAGCAAAAATCCATGATCATAAATAAGTACAAAAAGTACAAAATTCAACAAATTTAAAGACTTTAAAATTGAAACAAAGCAATCAATACTAATACTACAAAACCAACCGTCAAAACATCTAAACCAAACAATTCAACGACAATTGAGCGAAATTAAAAAAGAAAATGGAAAGATGGAACACGAACCTGAGCGTCTCATGTTGTTCACCCGAAATGAACCGGATAGATTACAATCAAGGAGCAAGCGAGCGCGGAAACCTCGTCAACCTCTCTGTCGTAGAGGGGGGAGAGGGAAGGGGGGGGAGAGAGAGGGAGAGTGGTTGAATTGGGAGGCTGAGGCTCTGATTATTTTATTTCTGTAAGCCTCTAACTTTGGTGGTTTCCAAGTTGGATGGTGAGCGCTTACTATTTTGGTGGGCGTCGTACGGGAGAAGGGAAAGTAAAAAAAAGCAAAGCACAGATGGAGGTGGATTGTATGCGTTTTCATTTCCATACTCTTTCATGCCTTCTGTTTGTGTGGTTACTGTTAAATCACGTCAACATTTTATACTCTTATTACTTTTTGTTTTATTATTTCTATAAAAAATTAATATAAAATGTTAATGTGACTTAACCGTGACCACACATCACAGGAGGGTATGGGAAGAGTATGGAAATGGAAGGGTAGACAATCCATCTCCCGTATAGATTGGTCTAGGTCGCTGTCGTTGTCACTGCGGAGTTTCAACTTTTATAGTTGTTTGAAGGAGTTAAAGTTACTTGTGTTAGGTTAGGCCATCTTCAACCAGACAGCTCGTTTTAGCATCTAATAAATTAATATTTTAATGAATAATGTAGGACTATATTTCTTACCATTTCCAACCGAGGGGTTAGAGGGCCATAAGCCAAACATAGCCTGGGGACAATAAACGTCTCCAACCGAGGGGGCCAAAGGATTATAAGGCCAAACATAATTTATTATTTAAATTTAAAAACTACAACTTAAATTTAAAAAATACAACAACTAAAATTTAAAAACTACAACTTAAATTTAAAGTCTATAATCATCATCATCTTCGTTATTTGCCATTATAGGAGTATAGTCGGAGATAAACAACTGTAGTCGGGCCATAATTTCCTACTTTTACCTATCAAAATAGGTCTTACTTATTGGAGTGTAATCCGAAGTGTTCCTTAGCATATTCCTATCATCCATCTCTTCTTGTATTTGTTTGGCCCGTTCTTCATGCCTACAGTTCCTTTCTTCCGCAGCAATGGCATTTTGCCCCGCCATGAATCGAAAAGAGGTCACCATTTCCTGTTGAAAGGCAATATCATCCTTTGCCTTGCCCTTTTCCTTCAATTTTCAGGCTTTGTTTCGTCCCATAGCCCTAAGTATGGAATCTTCACCTGAAGGCGGATTTTCTACCCTTGTTTCTTTAATGGTAGGAGATCCATCTTCATCCCCCGGATGCATTTCTGAACACCGGCGTAGGACCTACTCTATGTTGAGTCGGATCTTCAGATAACACCCATCCTTTACAAATTTCCTAACAACCGTGATGCTAAAAAGGTTTCGAGTTGCCCTCCATATACAATTCCCTTGCTTGGCGTACCAAGAAAATATAATTACAGAAATTAAAGGAAATTAATTTATGAAATTAAATGTAATATAATTAAATATTTAAAATAAATTGTGAACACACTTACTTTGTCGTAGTAATTGGCGCCGCTTTCATGTCTACTTGCGACTGTTAATAGTGCTTGATGTCATTTATTCAAACTTGGATGAAGATGTTTCTTCCATCTTGAAGAACAACTCTCGTGGTTTCGGGTATTCAGTGGAGTGGTGCCTTCATAGAACTCATAGTATTTTTTGGACACACGAATCCAAAGACCTTCACTTCTTTGAGAAGTTCCCCTCACACTATCTTCTGAGACCCATCTATAAG